GTGGTCGACTACGTGGGAGTCCAGCGACATAGCCATTACGCTAACTGCTGGTTCCCAAGAAATGCATCTTGATACTGAAATCACCTTAGGGGCTTTCTACACAAGCCACAGCATCTTGTGATTTGCGTTTGAATCCCTCCTAGCATTGCAGGGATCCTCTGCAGTGGGGCCTACTGAGGCAATGGCTGCATATGCAAGCTACGCCTGTGCTCTGATAGGAGAAGTTTCCTTAGTCACTCAAACACACTACTTAGGAGTCAAAAGAGGGCGCGGTGCTCAGTATAGACTGTGGAGGTGCACCAGGAATGATTCAAACATTTGGACCACACTGTCATTTTGTGGAATAGCTTCTCAGTCAGGTCACTGGAAATCTGACACTACTATAGGTTCACTCTTCCCTATGTTCTTTAGAAGTGCCCAGTTGTGTTACAAAAGTATTTTTTTTTTTTTTAATTATAGAGGCTCTTACACAGATAAGTAATATTTTTTGGAAGGGGAGAAATAAATGCCTAACATTTGTCCAAGAGAAATAATAAATATGAAAAATACAGGAGATTTCCAGGAATCAGAGAAGGATGGGTCTGAGAGATGACTGGCCAGCCCTCACCCATCAGCCCTATTAGGTATTCTCTAAGAAACTCTTGTGCAGTTTGTGAGGACAGGGGCATGGGCTGCATGTTGGATCCTAGGTCAGGTTCTTTGATCTCACTGGGGATTTCAATGGGAGTTTTTGAAATGCAGCATGCTAATAATACCAAACAGGAGAATCATGGAATTTCTCTTGCTCAGTGATCAATATGGATGCTGGGATGTGGGGGTGCAGGTGTGATTAGGCCCAGCATTTTCAGTGGGACCCATGTTTTTGTCTCACGCTCAGGAAGCATTGGAGACACAGACGCATGTATGGGATAGCCAACAGAGAGGTTACTGTAGTAGGTTGAAGGAGAATCAGAGCTCCCAAGAAGGGTGTGTTCCCGAAATGCATTGCCATTGTCTGGTTTGGTTCCAGGTTCCCATCCCAGCTGGAAGGAATCTGTGCACATGTGCTCATGGTAGCCCATCCCATGTCCTGGTGGTCTCATAATCGTGAGACTACACAACAATGGCTAATCAGAGACTTTTTCTCGGAGCTTCTTAATTTGGAAAAGGTCATTATCTCAGTTAATTTTGAGGGCCTGGTGATCTATATGTTAGAAATCATCCCAGAGTCAGGGATGGTTCTGTGGTAGGCAGTTACTAGTAATGAGTGGGCAGCCCTAAGAATAGCAGAAGGACACGTGTCACATCAGTCAGAATTTATCAGGAGTTACAACCAGACCCTCCCTCCGGGAGATGTCTCCTTCCAACCTAACCCCTGGTGCTGGGAAGGCCTGGCAATTACCATTTTCCTTCCTTGGTACCTGAGGAAGATACACAGGGATGATTGTAAATTTCTCTCTTATCATCCCTCATGAATACAAAAAGCCCTAACCAAACATTTTGGTCAACATCCTGATTCCCACTGGGGTGATAAACTAATTGGGCAATCTATCCTAATTAAACCGCCTGGCTCACACTGGGCATGCGCAGATAGGTAATCAAATTCCTCAAATTCTTCACCTGTGAGAGGGATACATAAGCCTGGGAATTCAAACAAGGGACATAGATAGTGTGACAGACCTTCCATCATTAAATATTCATAATCACCTCTACTAATAAAAGTAACGCCTAACCAGTTCCAAACGCAGCAGTTGCTGCCTAGCAACCTGCCGGCCTGAAAGTCTTTTGGGTGTACTTCTTTTCTAAAATCTTTCTTTCCTATTAAATTCTCTTTTCTACCTACTTTTATTGTGGTTGTGGCTTTATTTTGCGCCTTGGGGCAGGTCTCTAATTTTAGTCAGCTGGACCCCAAAAAACCAAGGACTTCACAGTGCAGCTCATCACTCTCCCATCCTATGACATTTCCAGCCCTGAGAAGGTGTCTTCCCCAGATCAGGTCTCTGATAATGCGTTTACCTTTTCTGTTGTCCTGGATAATGTCCTCTTGGTGTTTTCTAACTTAGGCCCATTGTAAAGGGTCATGAATTCTTTAAGAACAAGATCTGCATGTTTAAGGGCAAAGGACTTTGTTGGCTGGGAGAGGAGAGAAACTGTCAGCTGCCACACAGCATGGTGGCCCTTTTCTCAGGGGCCCCTTCCCTATCTTCCTGTAAACAGGGTCTAACTTCTGTCTCATTGTGACATATTAATCAGCTCATTTTTGCAGCTATTCAATAAATCCTGCAAAACTCATTAGAAAGATGTCTCTACTGTTCTTCTTACTAACTTTGGCATAAATCAGGTTCTGTGTGTGCGTCTCATTTCAGTGTGTTCTATTCCTCTTTTCACACATTGTCTTAATCCCTATAGTTGTACAAATATGCTATTCTTGAAGACTATTTTAAACATGCACGCTCCTTTCCCTCCTTCCTCTTTCTCTCTCTCCTCTCCCACCACCCCTCTCTCCCAGGAGGTGGGGGGGTAGCTCTTTTTCAGTTTGTTCACTAGTCTGAGTTAAAAGCAGACCCCATATGGTTTCATTTTACAAGTTAGGAGGTTTTTAAAGTTATGAAGAGGGACAGGGAAATTGTGCTCACTGCATGGATCTCCTCACTTAACCTTCAGTGAGCCACAAGCACTTAAATCCCATGATCCTTCAGCGGGTCAACCTTAGCTCATCCAGTCTCTTACACTGCTCACCTTGTGGCTGAATTACTTCTCCATATTCTTCAGGCTCAAGTATAGTATGGAATTTTTGTTTTAATCACCTTTACAGGTTTCTTTTTTGCATACCCATCAGCCATCCCTAGGATAGCAGTAAGGGGCTTCCACTGTTCCTTTGTTGAATTCTTACATGGACATAATCCTCGGTGCTAGTCAAGCAAGTCATAGCTTTTTTGCGTTGCATTGACAAAGGGCATGAAAGAGTGGAGATTTGCTCTGGATAGTGTACACTTCACCCCTTTTCTTTGGTGACAGTGATCTGGCCTGGAAGGGGAAGAGAAACAAGAAAGTCAGAGGGGAAAAGATCATGCAAAACTGAGGGGAGGCTACTGAGCCCTTGGTGGTGGTTTAGTCACTGGGACCCATACAAGCTCCTTTGACTTTTCTTAGACATTAGGAATTAGCATGGCAATTCCAGGAGAAGACCAGCTTGAATTTTGACTGAGGTGGCATTAAATCTATAAATCAATGAAAAGATATATGATATATTGTTACCATATTGTGTTTTCTGATTCATGAAAGTTTTGTATCGTCATTTATTTATGCCATCGTTTTACTTGGATCTTGCAGATCTTCAGTTATGTTTATTTCTAGGCATTTGATATTTTGATACCAGTATAAGTTTCGGTTGTTGTTTATTTGCTTTTATTTTGCTATAGGGTGTGTGTGTTTGCTAGAAAAAAAGAGATACTCTTTATCAGAGAAAATAATTTCTCTCTCCTTAATGAAGACCTAAATTTATGTTGAATTTTATTCATCTTTTTTACGTTTTTGATACAATCACTGTTTTGTATACTTTAAATTTTATGTAAATATAGTATTTTGTTTATCATTATTTGATATATTATTGACATTTTAGAAATGCAGTTTTAGTGTTTTTTTA